TTCTTAATTTAATTTTTTTCCTTTTCTTTTATTGTAAACTAAAATTTTCTAATAAAGATTATTTATATATAAAAAAGAAACCTATTCATTCTTCAGGGTTATCTTTCCTTGTTGCCCTTCAGGAGTCCCAGAGAGGGTATTCTTAGGGAGATCAAGCCCAATGAGGAGTGGCTTAAAGAGCTGGGCATGTTTAGCCTGAAGAAGAGAAGGCTGAGAGGAGACATGATAGTCATGTATAAATATATGAGAGGAAGTCATAGGGAGGAGGGAGCAAGCTTGTTTTATGCTGCCCTGGAGACTAGGACGCGAACAATGGCTTCAAACTACAAGAAAGGAGATTCCACCTGAATATTAGGAAAAGAACTTCCTGACTGTGAGAGCTGTTCAGCAGTGGAACACTCTGCCCCGGAGTGTGGTGGAGGCTCCTTCTTTGGAAGCTTTTAAACAGAGGCTGGATGGCCATCTGTTGGGGTGCTTTGAATGCAGTTTTCCTGCTTCTTGGTGGGGGTTGGACTGGATGGCCCATGGGGTCTCTTCCAACTCAGCGATTTCAATGATTCTGTGATTCATGCCTAGGCTTTTCAACCATTCTCTAAGGAGACTTACTTGGTCCCCTTGCCATATGTGTACCTGCTCTATGTACGTGGCAATGACAATGGAAGAATGAGCAAAGCTACCAGCCAGTTTCTGTTTGCTTGCTCTGGTCAATTAGAAACCAACTGCAAATGCAGCACTGCAATTTTGTGTGGGTCAGTTCCTTGCCTTGTATTGTCGATGGTGTTCATGGCTGGAATCACTGGGTTGTTGTAGGTTTTTCAGGCTATATGGCCATGTCCTAGAAGCATTTTCTCCTGACGTTTCGCCTGCATCTATGGCTGGCTTCCTCAGAAGTTGTGACCTTACAACCTCTGAGGATGCGCCATAGATGTAGGAAAACGTTAGGAGAGAATGCTTCTAGAACATGACCATGTAGCCTGAAAAACCCACAACATCCCAGTTCCTTGCATGTTTATGTTCAGATCCAGGTCTTCCCTTGCCTGGTATACACGTATACATCCCATCCACAATTGTGACTTATACACAAAACATGTATGTAAATAAATAAAACAAATGAGAAGGAAAAGATCCGACAAATTAAAGAACAAGGCTTTCCTCTCTTGCTCGCAATGGACACCTAAAACAAAATTTGCTCCCAAAACAAAAACTTCTGATCTTTCTTTTTCTGGTTGATGGCCATTCTTGATTTAAAAGCCTCAGGTTGTTCTTGGATAATCAGTTTTGTGACACATAAAGGCTGTAAGAAGAGCAATCAAGAAATGAAAAAGGGGATGTCACACTGGAAAATAACCCGTCGGAATCAGAGTGAAGGATTTGTGGTATGCCTGGAGAAAGACTTGTACTCCTGCAGACTCAATATCATCTAAATGTCCTGATTTGACAGCGACAGCCTCAGTTAATCCTCTGCTGCTCAGCTTTTTCAGCTGCTTTTAAAACGTCCCAGTTTCTCTCTCCTTCTCCTCTCAACCCTTTTGTCTTCAGCTTACTTCAGTTACTGCAGTTGAAGTTCAAAGTGCAAATGTAGTTTGTACTGAACTTATCTGAGGGGCGACATGGAGGAATCATGCTTTTCTCTATATAATCAGACAAAAGCAAACTACCGCAGTCTTCTCTAGCTCAGTGTTGTTGCCTATTAGTAGCCGTAACCATTTTAACCACACTCTGAAATTGCTTGGTCTAGTTTTCACCTGTAAATGTTGGAAGATATGAGACTCAAACTCCCGGTGGTGCAGTGGGTTAAACTGATGAGCTGCTGAACTTTCCTACCAAAAGGTTGCTAGTTCGAATCCAGGGAGCGGGATGAGCTCCCACTGTTAGCCTCAGCTTCTGCCAACCTAGCAGTTCGAAAACATGCAAAAGTGAGTAGATCAATAGGTGGGGAGGTAACAGCGCTCCATGCAGTCATGTCAGCCACATGACCTTAGAGGTGTCTACAGACAATGCTGGTTCTTCACCACCCCCTAGAGTCGGACACGACTTAATGGCAAGGGGAAATCTTTACCTTTTACCTATGATGTATTTATTATATATTATAAACAAATATGAAGATAGTTGAAGGTTTCACCCTTGGGCCTCCAGTCCAACTACCAGTCGGACACGACTAGACTTGGTGTCGGGAAAACATTTACCTTTACCTATGAGATCCTATGGCAGAAGAAGTGCTTCTCCTAGGCATAACTGTTGCCACTAGTATAAAGAGTGAATATAGCACAGGTGCTTGGTAGAGCTCTGAGCTGTAATGTCCCTTGTCCTTATTCTGAAACTCACCAGATGAGTGTTGAAAAGCTAATGTCTTTTCAACTCCAGCCATTGCCAACTGCAGTATACCAGTAATAGTATTGGCTGGCTTTATACCATTACTGCAAGAGTGCATTAAGCGCCCGGACATTTGAGATGCAGTATATAAATGCAATACTGTTTAGCACTTAACTTTCTTTGCACTCGAAATAAGAGAACAGACGGCTTAGTGTAACGGCATAAGAAGAGCCAGGCTGGAGCTGACCAAAGGCATTATTGCTTGAAGGTTTTGTTCTCGCAGCAGCCAACAAGATGCTTAAGTGGGAAGCCCAGTAATAGAACATGAATGCTGCAGGCCCCTTCTGTTCAAATATGAATGGTCTCACTGCCTCTAATACATAACTATCTTGATTCATAGCTCTCGATAAACTTTATTCTTCATGATTTTAAGCCGTCCAAGTTGTCAGTTGCCACTGCAGTTTATAGAAGTGAATTCTACAGTTTGATTCTATGCTATATAATAATAATAATAATAATAATAATATCAAAACAACCTTTATTTATATCCCACCCCCTCTCCAAAAGGACTCAGTTGAACAGTATCTGTACTTTTTATGAGTCTTGAATCTCCCACCATTCAGATTCAATAGATTCTGGATTTTTAGGTTATAGTATCTTGAGAGAGGGAATTCACTTTATATAAATAAAAATGTAATGTTCGTTTGTGGGATTAACATAACTCAAAAACCACTGGGCGAATTGACACCAAATTTGGACACAATACACATATCAGGCCAACTAGTGACCATCACTCATAAAAACACTGAAAAATACAGCAGAAGAGACTTGAAAAGCAAAAAAAACAAAACATTACAACACATGCTCAAAACCACATATATACACAAACACACATATATACACAAATAAATATACACACACGTATATGCATATATACACACAAAAACACATATACACAGACTGGGCTACAGCAACAAGTGGCAGGGGACACCTAATATATAATTCAAAGACATAGCTGTGTGAGTCTGGAATATCATATGCAAAGGAATCACATAGCACCTTGGAGAGAACAAAGTCAGCAGCATAAGCTTTCTAAGGGTGCATCTACACCGTAGAATTAATATAGAAGAATATATTAATATAGAAGATTCCCCCCAGGCACTTCCAAGCCATTGAATGCAAATCAAGGTGATCAGCTGAAACATTCACAGCTAGCCCCAGCAGACAAAAGTCCTTTGTCTCACCCTGGTCATTCCACAGATATATAAACCCATTTTCCTACTTCCAACAGACCTCACTACCTCTGAGGATGCTTGCCATAGATGCAGGCAAAATGTCAGGAGAAAAATTGCCTCCAGAACATGGCTATATAGCCCGGAAAAACCTACAACAACCAAGAATTAATATAGTTTGACACCTCTGTAACTGCCATGATTCATTGCTATAAAGTCATGAAAGTTGTGGTTTGACTAGTTCTTTTGCTTTCTTTGGCAGAGAACTGGTACCTCAAACTACATATGGCAGTTGAAGTGGAGCCAAATGCATATGTATATGTATCTAAGGGCGTAGACATGGAGTGCATCTAAGCTTTGAGTTAATGCAGTTTGACTCCACTTTGACTGCCATGGCTTGACTCTATGGAATTCTGGGGGTTATAGTTTGGTGAAGTACTAGCACTCTTTGGCAGAGAAGGCAAAGTAGCTTGGAAAATCACAACTCTCAGGATTCCATAGCATTGAGCCATGGCAGTCAAAGTGGAGTCGAACTTCATTAACTCTACCGTGTAGATGCACCCTAAATCTATGAAAGTTTATGCTACCAACTTCATTTTTTCAGTTAGTCTCTAATGTGCTACTACAAGATCCCTATGCTGTCTATACCATGTATAGTTTATATGTCTTTACTTGGGTGGGGGGATTTAAGGGGAAACTAATATTTATAATGAAATGGGAAATACAAACTGATCTTGTGACTTAGTTTAAAAAACTGTAAATACTTATCTACATTGATTTAGAGAAGGTTTGTACTATAATGCATTATTATCTGTATGAATTTATAATTTTAATAATAATAATAATAATAATAAATACTTCAAAATATGTCTTTACTGCAGTCTCACAAAGTCTCGTTGTCTTTGTTTCTTGAGCATAAGGAAATCCCTTACATTCCTTGATTATTCTAGTTGCTCTTTTCTTCTCCTTGTTAGAATCGAATAGTTAAAACAAAGAAACAAACAAAAAAGTGCATTGCTATATCAGTAGGGATCATTGCTTGTATTGTAATAATTTGCCAATCTTCAATAATATTGTCATGTAAATGCTATTTATTTATATTATGTACTTCAATAAGACCTCTTCTTTGGTCTCTAAACAGGACTGGATGATTTAATATTGGATAAACTTTCCAGTGTGGAGAGACTGTTTATGATTAACATTATTTGTCAAGGTACTGTTTTGGAGATGAATCTGAAATGGTTCCTGCATTTTAATTGATACTTTGTGTTAGATAAGGTTCGCTAATGGTCATTGACTTGGCAGGAAGTCCTGTGAATTATTGGAATTGTTTTTGGCTGAGTTATTTAATAGCTTGCTAAGAGTCGGGAAATAGCTTTATATCCCTTTTGGCATGTCTGCTATGCAAATCATCCATGGAAATGTTTACATTAATTTGTATATGTATGCTTTTAGACTTACAGAGTTTGAAGATACACCTGCAAGTCAGCTAACAATAGATGAGTTCATGACAATTGATTTAGAAGAGGAATGCGATCCTCCCTCGTTTACAGCTGGTCAACGGAAGATAAAGATTCAGCAGGTGAATTCTTTCAGCTCTTCTATATGCATAATTTCTGTTATTCCTTTTGTACTTGGAAAGAAAATTATCTCTCTGTGCTATATATGCAGTAGATTCGGCTTTCTTCTCCCATCTGGAAAACCAACATTTTGAACAAATAATACTTTACACTAGCAAAATGATGTAATAGTGGGGTGAGCTCCAACACTTTTCAAAACTAAGTATGTAAAAACGTTCTTTAAAAAGCAGTAATTTGGAATTTGTTGATATCCATCCGTAGCCATTTGAATCATGACAGATCAATGAATTTATATAATCGTTTTCTGGGGGGAAAAATGTCATCATCCTCATTCAAATCTGAATTTTCAGGCTTCTTTGTGGGATTAATGCTTCACCACCAAAATGCCCAGCTCCTGAGGTGTTTTAGATTTTTTTACATTTCTAGAATATAGGACAATGCATTCCATGTTGCTGTTAATATCCGTGAGATGTCCTTTATGGACATCTGAGTTATTGTTCATTCTAATTATATCTAATTCTTGTGTAGCAGAAGATGGAGATGTAATACTTAGAATTCCCCATGATTTATTCTATACTAATATATATACCCCCTGCTTTCATCCTTTCTTTCTCTTCTTTCCTTTGCCTTATACACTTGACGTGGCCAATGGACTAATCAATAAAATGTATGTAACCTTATACATGTGTCACTTTTCTTTCCCAGTGCCCTCAGAGAGGGCAGCCTAGCAATGGCCTTAGTTGTACAGACAGATGGACTTTGACATATAGGCAGTCCTGAGTTACAAACATCCAACTTTCAAATGACTCATAGTTAAGAACGGGTGAGACAATAAGAAGTCGGGGGTGCTTTGAATGTAATTTTCCTGCTTTTTGGCAGGGGGTTGGACTGACTGGCCCATGAGGTCTCTTCCAACTCTATGATTCTTTGATTCTAAGTGAGAGAAACCTACTCCTTGGAAGGGAAATTCACTCTTGAAAGAGTTATCACGGGAAAGGTCTCCACTGAGGCTCTCACTAATCCTTAGTTCCACAACAAACCATTTTTTTTTTCAAATTCCAGTTGTCACAAGGACAGGAAGTGGGGTGGATATCCTGAACATAGAATCATAGAGTTGGACCATCCAGTCCAACCCCCCTGCCAAGAACCAGGAAAGTCACATTCAAAGCTCCCTCCTCCCTATGATTTCCCCTCACATATTTATACATGATTATCATGTCTCCTCTCAGCCTTCTCTTCTCAGGCTAAACATGCCCAGCTCTTTAAGCCGCTCCTCATAGGGCTTGTTCTCCAGATCCTTGATCATTTTAGTCACCCTCCTCTGGTCATATTCCGGTTTGTCAACATCTCCCTTCAATTACGGTGCCCAGAATTGGACACAGCGTGATTCCAGCTGTGGTCTGACCAAGGCGGAATAGAGGGGTGGCATTACTTCCCTGGATCTAGGCACTATGCTCCTATTTTATTGTCTTTTTTAGCTGCCACATGACATTCTTGTGTTTAACTTTCTGTCCATGAAGACTCCAAGATCAGGAGCACAGACAGCAAAACTAACAGAACAGGGGTGTTAACCCTTCCCTAGGCTATCCAAAACTAAAAAAGTGGCTGAACTTACACTCTTCTGACTTACATACAAGTTCAACTTAAGAACAGACCTGTAGAATCTATCTCGTTTGTAACTTGGGGACTGCCTGCAATAGGTTCACCTTATAGTTACCGTAAATTGGAGGCAACTTAAAGGCACACAACAACAATAATATGCCACAGGAAGGATTAAGGTAAAGGTTGTCCCCTGACATTAAGTCCAGTCATGTCTGACTCTGGGGTGTGGTGCTCATCTCCATTTCTAAGCCGAAGAGCCAGCGTTGTCCATAGACACCTCCAAGGTCATGTGGCCAGCATGACCGCAGGAAGGATTATTATCTCTTAAAAGGGGTGAAGTTTTGCTTATTGGTCTAATTTGAATTCTGGGAAGCTGTTGAATGATCATGCTGATGATATATGATTGATACTACTCAAATAGCTAATTCTCTCTCCTTCCCCCCCCCCCCCTCTGTGCTCATTATGGACTAAAGTAACCAGTGATAGGACTAAGGCATGATGTTGATGACATTTATTATTATTATTATTATTATTATTATTATATTATTATTATTATTATTATTATTATTATTGATATTGATATTGAACCATCTGTGTACATTTTAAATTATGTTAGAGGAAACACAGACAAATCGATGTTGGCGGGAGGTTACAGAAGAGGGGGAAAATAACAATGGATGACTAAATAAACATGTTTCACAGTAAAATATTGTGAGGAAGGATTAGAAGTAAATGTGAAATTGCACCAGGCAGTCTTTTAGTAAGAGAATTTCAGATGTAGTGGGCAGAAAGGACTATAGCCTCCTCCTCACCCTTAAAGGAGTGATGGAGTTGAAGGAATGAAGGTTACTGTTGAAAGCCAGGGGAGAAATGTGGAGTGAAGGTTTTAAAGGATGTACTGTTTAGAGAATGGATTGAGATGTCAGGCATAAGGCTGTGGGATCACACGATAGGAAACAGAGAATCAGCAATTGGTTTTGATAGCGGCGTTTTGGATAGAGATGAGAGGACGAAGGTATGCCAAGGGAATGCTCTGAGACAGGGAGGTTGGAGAAGTCAATGCATGCCAGCATTACATTGAGGCTTGCTCCTGCTTTGGAGACTGTTGGGCCCAAGGAAGATCAGAGCTGTCACAGTTGCTCCCTGCCTTGTCCCTGGCAGGCAACCTGCTGTGCACCAGCTCTCCCCATCAGCGCACACCTCACCTCACTGTGCCGTGACAAATGTATTCTGACTAACACGGTTTGGAATCTTTCAGATGATATGGCTAAGCTGATTGTGTTGCATGTAAATTCCCTCTCTTCTGTATGCCACGTTCATTCTTCCACCCCAATTAACAAAGGCCACAGCTGGAAAGGTATTTGCTTGTTAATTGGATCCACGTACAACCCCCCCCCCCCCCCCCCCCCCCCGCCCTTCCAGCTTTTCAAGTTCTGCTCTCACTAGAGATACCCAGGGCTAGGGGAAAATAAAGCATTACATAGAATTTTGTGCTTTTACTGGTCCAATTTAAAATAAACACTGCTGTTAATTATGATCAAATTGTGTTGGATTGGCTCCAAAATGTTGCTTGCCAAGACATGCAGGGTGTCGCTAGACTTAGTTTCTGAGCTGATAGATATTTCTGAATAAATACTAATTCTGTGAACAAAAGATTATGTTTAGTTTTTTTTTTAAAAAAAAGAACTTTGAATTTCATCCATAACATTTTGTAGAAAGTGTTTAAATCTCATTCATAAAGTTTTTATTCAGCCCATACCAGAGTGAATTAAAAAAGCCTTTGTCCCCTTTTTGGTGTTAGTAGCTCTATAAGAAGATATTTGTGGCTTTCTGACACCGAACTCTCCCATAATAGACAGGTAGGTGGCTATGGCTTGTCTAAAAGGCTTTTTTTTCTGAAAAAAATGTCACTTCGGTGATGCATCTGGACCCCAACCATGTAGGGCTTTAAAAGTCAAAACCAACATCTTATACTTTGCCCGGAAACTACTCCCAGATGTTCCTGTAACCAATCTGGCTTCTCTATTTTGAGCCAGCTGAAGTTTCCAAACTTGGTATAAGGGTAGCCCAATGTAAAATGCATTTTAGAAGTCCAGCCTTGAGGTTACCAGTGCATGCACTACCATCTTCAGGCCCTGCAAATCTAGGAAGGGGTGGATCTGGTGCATCAGACCAAGCTGATAGTAAACTCTCCTGACGTTGCATCTACCTGGGCTGACATTTGGAGACACATCCAAAGCTACTCCAAATCTGCAAACACAGTCTTTCAGGGTGATAACCCCTGTATTTATCCTCTATGTGTAATATCCTCTACGTGTAATACTGCATGAATCCACTCTCACTGTTAATGGACTGGAATTTGTGAATATTCATTTCCTGTTTATAGTCTTCCTTTGCAATTTCCTTGCTTAGGAAGATTGAAACATTCTGTAACTGGGCTTTTGGGTGTTGTCATTTGTCCTATTTTGGGCTTTTGGGTGTTGTCCATTTGTCCTATTTTGTAGAAAATGTTCTGTGTGTCCAGTGTAGAGTGTAGAGACAGACATTGCTGACATAGGACAATGTATATCACATTGGAGGAAAGCAAGTTAATGCACCTCTGATGTATTACAGGGACTGATAACATCTCCAAACACTTCAGTCATGCATTTACTTCTTCCAGTGTGATCTATGACATCCTATGTAGGCAATGCTCTTATCTACATTGAACCCTCCCATTATTACGTCAAGCCTCATCAATTCTTCTCCTTTAAAAAAAAAAGTGGTGATATTTCCCCCTAATTTTTGCTTCCAAAGAATAATATTCTAATGTATAAAAAGATGCAAACGAATCAACAAAAAAGCACAGTTTTCCCTTGCTGCCACCGTCAAAAGGGCAATAGGAAAAGCAGCAGATTTACTTCCTGGTGCTATTTTGAGAAGGTCTGTTGAGAAATACCTTTATTTTTCCCTGTAGTTCATCTCAAAAGGACGAAAGGGACAGAAGAAACATCTTGTGCTGTCACCATTTTGGGAGTAGGTGCATAAGAAAATTGAGGTATTTGAGCTTGATGGGGATGCCGATGGAAGAGAGACCTCTGGAGAGGAAATTTGTCCCTGTTTAGAAGCTCTTCTGGTTTCATCATTGTCATTTCTACTTGAAAGGAATAGTTAGCAGGTGATAAGAATGTATGTCTAAGATCCTGGAGATCTGTAGTTAATCATAGTTAGAACTTGGAAGAATTATTTTGGCTGCAACCTCTCACGTTCATAGTAGTTTAATGTATAATGTATGATGTATTTGAAGTCACCGGTGGCGCAGTGGGTTAAACTGCTGAGCTGCTGAACTTGCTGATTGAAAGGTCAGAAGTTCGAATCCGGAGAGCAGGGTGAGCTCCCGCTTTAGCCCCAGCTTCTGCCA